GAGATATATATATATATATATATATATATATATATATATATATATATATATATATATATATATATATATATATATATATATATATGTTAGTTGTGTAATTGTACATTCTGTAATATGTTAAGATGAAGATTATATATTATATTATATATATATATATATATATATATATATATATATATATATATATATATATATATATATATATATATATATATATATATATATATAATATAAATTTAATCATGCTCAATGGGTTAAAGGGTTTTCTCTAGCATGGGACAGAGTAAATTCAACGTATTAGCCTGGCATGATGCCAATTATAGGGTTAACTATTGTATAGCAACAGTCATAAAAAATTACAATTCAAATTAATTTAAAAACACAATTTAACCAATTTTCATTTCTTTTAGAAATCAAGGACATTCAAATTAACTTTGCTCAATCCATTTATAACTTGTCCTGTGTGTCAGGGTTATCTAGTTGATGCTACCACAATAACAGAATGTCTACATTCATGTAGGTTGAAGAATATATATATATATATATATATATATATATATATATATATATATATATATATATATATATATATATATATATATATATATATATATATATATATATATATATATATATATATATATATATATACTGTATAAGTTAAAGAATATGTAAATAAATGCTGATTAATATTCACTGTATCCACTTTTAATTGTTACACTTTAATGCTTGTGATGTTACTCTGAGTGTATATCCACACCGGGCAAGCTTGAAAAATATGCCTGACCACGATGGGAATCGAACCTACGACCTTTGGAATACTAGCCCAATGCTCTGCCAACTGAGCTACGCGGTCTGGTCGGTTCGAGTATGTGATATTTCGGAACAGAATCTAGTTCCTTCGAAATCAATGTTATCTAATAATAATCATGATTTGTTACATTGTAGTTTGCCGAAGTTGTATTGTCAAATATTTTGAAAAGTTTGAGACGAATTATACCTGTCCACTTTGTAATGAGCTTGTCCATAAAACAAATCCTTGGTATAATTTAAAGTAAGTTGATCTTTTCAACAACCCATTTTTTTATCAAAGTAAGTATGCAATACTACTGTAATTTTTGTCCAATGTAGAGCTGACTCTGTGCTACAAGATGTTGTTGGCAAACTAGTTCCTGATTTTACTGAAGGTAAAATTATAATATGATTTTCTTAGGATAATTGGAAGTCATAAAATTAATTCAACACCTGGAAAGGGCGTTGAATTTAGTGAAAATCCTGATTATTTTTGTCACCAGCAGCTTTATCTTATAAATAATAATATTTTTAGACAATCTGATTCCACCGCCAGGAATAGCCTGGAATTTCACTCTATATACTATACTTCACATATTTTATTGAGGGAAACATATTAAGTTCATGACGTCTTAGCCTTATAGGAGCAAACTTGATTTAGCGATTCCACAAGATTTTAGTAACTTTAATATAAAAACAAACTCGTATTTGACTATTATAATCCTAAGCCTATATTTTTCATTTAGCTGAAGAACGGCGGCGCAGAGTATTCTACAAAAGTAGAGGCTTACCCATCCCAGAAAAAGGTGAGGATTCCTGACGTTGAATTTCTCTTTCAACATGGGTTGAATCTAGTCGCTTTCTATTTATGTTTCTCTTTCCTTCGCAGTTATCAAGCCGGACATTCAACGACGCGAGCCCAGTCGTTTAGACGAAATCCGCAAAGAAACCCCGTCACCGCAACTTCGAGGGCCGTCTCAAGAACCCTCAAGAGAAACCTCCCCACAAACATCCAGTTATGAAACTTCGAACTGTGATGAGAATGATGATCAGATCACAATGCAACTGGAAATGAAAAGGTTTGTTTTAGGCCGTGTTTGTCATTTTGTTCTTGGTGGTGATGAGGTTGTTTTTGTGCTGTTGTTGATATAGTACTAAGTGGTTATCGTCGTTGGTGGTGGTAGTGGACTGGTGATATGGTGATGTTGTTGTTCGTTGTGGTGTTCTTGTTTTTGTCGTTGGTAGTGGTGGTGATAGTGGTGGTGCGGTGCGTGACTTGTTGTCGTCAGCATAGGAACTATGTACGCATTGATTCCTCCATGAAAAGATGAGGATGAAAAAGAATGAAAAGTGGGATAAGTCATTTGCGATGTTTGTGTTTGGTGTGACTTCTTAGATCTTGAACAGAAGAGTTTGGAACAATATTCACACGGGAAAGTTGGTGGAAGACTGGAAGTATTGGGTTGGATTAAACTTTCTGTCTTTCTCCTCGTGTCTTTGATCACTATTTTCTCTTTGTCTTGTTTCTTTCAGTAGTGCGACTCCGTTCCGGATTTGTTGTCTCCAACCTTTACGGTCTAATGAGTTGATGTTTGTTCTGGTGAAGGTCTTTTCCAATTGGCCGCTGTGCCTGACTACTACTACCAGAATGCTTTGCGATCATCTGTTATCTTTTTCTAAGATTCTCGCAAAGCATTGTGCTATCAATTGTTGTAGTCATGCACTGCAAGAAAACGCCATTATGCATAAGTTCTATTTTAGTGATGGTGTAGTGTTGTTACTGATAGTGATGTAATAGGTGTTCGTGTTGTTTCGGCCACCTGCGAGAAAGTAAATATACAATTTAGTATGCTCTAGTGTTTATCGAAATTTTTTTTTTCTACTTTCAGTATGGACGAGTTGATCCTCGAAGATATTTTGGTATGTACATTTATCAATGGGTTGATCCAGGTTTACTGAGGTGTCTGGGTTGCCATGATTTGCCCATAAAATAATGTTAAGAATAATACACTTTATTTACAGCCGTTAAAAAGAAAATTCGTTCGTTGCTCAAATCAAGTTACAGTTGGTTTGCTACAGAAGTTTATCGCGAAAAAATTGAATCTTGAGGCTGCAAATCAGGTTTGCCTTTTATACATGTATATAACAGTTTCAAAGTTGTATCTGCACTCAAACCCCCTCAGAGCCTGAATTTGAATGTTAGATGACTGCCATGTTATAGCTCTGATGGAACGAGTTTACTTTCAGATTGAGATTATATGTAATGACATGGAACTGGGAACAGACTTTACCTTACATTTCATTCAAGAGACTATTGCAGATGAGGAGGTACGTTCGCTTTGTACTTGTTGACATGAAGAAATAGTGTGTCCTTTGCAGCTAGACAAAAAAGTTTTACGTATAACAGTAGTCTGCAGAGCGTGCAGAATGCAGTGCCTTTTTGTGCCCCCGGGTTTTTCCAACGTTCTCCAGTCACACAATATTCTCTGTCAACTATTTTTTGCCTGTATCCTGGATTGCATGCCAGGAGATTATCTATAGTGCGAGCTGCGAGTTGCGAGTTACGAGTATATTGTTAATTTCTAATAACATCGGGTTTAATTTTAACCCAGGGTTAACACTAACCTAGCTTTGAAGCACCGAACCAGGTGTTTACACCTGTGGTTTACACTAAAAATTCAAATTGAAAACTGTATGGCATCCTGGCGGATGTGATTTTAGCTTTGTCTCAATTTGGCGCCAATTTTCAGCTTTTGAAATAAACATTCATTGCATTTATTTTTATACTTACAAACTTGTAAATAGCAATCGTTTTGATATACTGATGGTTTTTCCCGTGTTTAGATAAAGTTTATGTATGTATATGTATGTCTATGTATAAATTGTATAAAATAAATTGTACTTCCGATGAAAAGGACTTGAGTTTTATAGGGTTCCCAGCGTTCAGTATATATAAACAAACTGAGTCGGTGTCTGGTCATACTTACTAATAAAATTAAATAACCATTTTAAGATTAGAAAGCACAAAATGGTCTGGATAACTACTAGATTTTATTAAACACAGAAACGGCAAATATAAACTTGCACTTTTATTTTCAATATAATTATTTTAATTCTTGAACATACGTATCGATGGATCTAACAAAGTAAAAAAAACAAGTAAAGGCCGATTTTTATCTCGTCCGTATCGTAGCATTTTCTTTTGTGTCGAAGTCTTAGTTACAGGGACCTTAACTTCGAAGGTCATTATATTTATGAAACAAAAAACCCTTCGACTTTGCCTTCCATGTCGTCCATATTAATATACTTTCAAAGCCTAATTCAAAGCGAGGCTAGCGACTCGCAACTCGCAGCTCACAACTCGCAAAATAGCCGACCCCGCATGCCAGAGTGTAAGATCATTTAAAAACTTATAGCACCCAGGATCGTGGGCCCGTTTCAACGTCTTTTAATTTGTAGTCTGACCTGAAATACTCATTATTCTTTATTGTAGGACCACAGTAAACCACTGCTCCTCTACTATGGCCTAAGTGATATGGAATAACTCGATACAAGGAATTTGTATTGTACCAACTAATTGGACGTGTCGGTCTCATTGATATTGACGTTGAGTCATAAGTATGATCTTCGCAGAAAGGCGGATGGTGAATTTTATGTATTTACAGTACTTTGTTCATACATGTTTTATCTATTTACTCGTCTAAGTTCATACGTTTTTAAAACAAGCTGCATTATCCAGTAAGCATGTATCTTGTTGTCAAAGTGTGTAAAAGCATAGACAATCCAGAAGACTTCTGGATTGTCTATGGTAAAAGTAACTGCATGTAGAATATGGTTGGAAAAAATGTATAATGAGGCGAATTTAAATAGTTTTAGTAACGCTTTGAGTGTATCATATATACTTCTTTTTTTCTATCTATAACTAACTCGCACTTCAAGGTAAAATCAAAGTTGGACTTAATTGATGGACGTTTATTATCAAGATATAGGAAGGCTATGAAGATTCTCAATCAATTTCGTCCAGCATGACGACGAATATACGTGAGGTGAAAACTATATTTATGGTGAAAACCATCTATTACTGCTTCGTATATGAACTGTTATTATGCGTTTGAAAAACTAACATAGTTACACGAACATCCAAACTATTGTTAAATTTAATAAAATAAATTTACACTGCATTCAAGCAGACAACTTATTCCAAACAACGACTGGATTTTTAAATACATGTACTGTATCAAGGCGCAGCATGCAGTCAAGCATTTTTAAGCGCCAATTGTATCTTTAGCCTAAACAGACATTTACGTAGCGAAGAACTACCTGTAGTACACCTTTATCAGTGTGTGAACCAAAGAAAAAAAATGGGGAAATACATTAAGTTTATAATTTGGTAATAAGGAAGAATTCTCTTTTCCAAATATCTTCTGTTTAAATTCGTAAAGACACATTCATTGGATACACTATACTGCCCTCGTTATCGAATATCGTGTAAACATTTAAGAAATTCAAATCTAGATCGAGGTCAGTTAAAACATATATGCATATACAATTTAAAATTGGCAGTATTTATGTTCTAATTGTTGTCCTACTAGGTCTGTGACAGGCATTAACATTCCAACGTTTTTGTTGTAAGTGGTTTATATTGTGGTGCAACACATGGTAATTTCAAACGTATATTGATACTTATAAGAGCGAAAATAATTTTACCACCATATAGGGTAATGTTAACCACCATGTACTGCATCAGCAATTTTTCTACCTAAAAATGTAAAACCTAGCTTAACATGCAATATTTCCACGCGCTTTTAATATGTGATAAATAAGCGAACATTTTAAGCTTTGGCTGACACTCCGAGTCAATAAATTATCAACGTTTATCATTGAAAGAGGCTTGGTTCGTCATTTTCTGATTGCTTCCACGGACTCTAGTAGTTCTTTTATCTTCTAGTTTTCACCTTGTTTCTTTTCTTGCTCTGGTTCTTCAGTTTGTTGGGCACCATCATCTCTTTCGGACGCCATCTTGAAAGAAGGAAAATTAATATGTCAAGAACTGGTACTACTGTGTGCAAATTCATCATTGTGGTATCTTTATCTTGGAAATTGGAGTTCGCTCGGAACACAAGTCTTACCTTTTTGTAGGCCATTTCGAAAAGTTTAAGTGATTTCTGTTGTAATTCACTGCATTGCTCTTTGATCTCTTCAGCTGAAGAATTTTCTGTGTTTGCCAACACTTCACGGACCTTCGTGATTTCTTCTTTCAGACTGGAAACCTGGAAATAAATGCCACAAACGCCAGGCGTTATAACGATCTAATTAGAGACGGAAAGTCCAGCACATGACCCACTTTTGTTATTTTTGTGAAGATTTATAGCCAATCTTCAAGTCTATGCCGGGCCAGCCAGTTACTACTGTACGTGTACAGTATTCGCAGTAACTCTAGAATTCTCAATTGAACTAAATTTTAAACATTAGCCCCTTACACTACTGTACAGAAGTACATAACGTTGCAGCATGGCTCCTTATAACTTCTGCAGCCATGCCTCAAATATTATAACATAATTTGCACAAATTTACCTCTTCTTGTGGTAATTGATCTTTGAACTCTTCAATCTTTGTTTCTGTATCATGTAAGATACTTTCAGCATGGTTAACGGCTTCGGTTTTTTCCTATTGAAAGAAAGTGCACTTCCAGTAAGCGAACCTGACAAATGGACTCTGTATTGCATACCGGTATGAATCTTGTACCCGGATTGGATGTTGCTAATAAAACTATCACAATGAATACAGTCTTGCTTGTCCTCAGTGTGAGAATAATCACTTATTATAATCCAAGGTAGCTGATTTAATGTAGCTGTTTTGACTCGGATATCCCCAAAATTGATAAAAATACGGCATATTAAACCAAATATTTTACCCGTTCGTCCTACTGTATACTTTCTTCCTCTTTTAACATTTACCTTTCGTTCTTTGTCACTTTCTGCGTACATTTCCGCTTGTTTAATCATATTTTCAATTTCATCCTTGCTCAGACCGCCAGAAGATTGAATCACAACTGTAAATTTTGAACACAGTCATACTATAATAGTCTGATCCAGTTTTTAATACTGTAGTTACAGTAAAGGTATAACAGACCATGTTATATAATTTTTACTAATATAATTATTAAAACTGACTTGCACAAGGAGGTATTCAAGGTTGTTAGTAAAACTAAGTTTAAGATTAGTGATTTAGTTGGTTAATAAGTTATGAAGTAGCTAAGTTAGTTTCTAATAGAAGGTAAGTTCAACCATTATTAAGATATTTCAGTGTTTTGTAATGAGCCTTGTGTACTGTTGGTAGGGTATAGCATGAATTATGACGTAAATTAATACAATGCATATAAGTACTTACTTTGTTGTTCCTTTCCAGTTCCCTTGTCGCGAGCAGAGACGTTCACGATTCCGTTGGCATCGATATCAAATGCGACGTCAATCTGTGGTATACCACGTGGTGCAGGTGGAATACCGACCTACGAAGAAAACAAGTTCAATAGATGTTTCACGAATTTGCTTCAGTGCACATGAGACAATAGCTTGAACTGATAATGTGAACCCATTCCTCCAACCAAAAACCCGGCTGCTATACGCAAGCTAACCCATTACCAGGCTCCATCATATCTGGAATTGGTGGATCCTGGCATCTAGGATCACAGAAAATTTTCATACCTGGCTTAGTTGGCAGAGAATTTTGGGGTATTGCATAATGCTAACAGGCACAGAAAATAATTTATTAGGAAGAATATTAGATTAGCCATCTCACCGTAATAAACAACTGTCAAATATTATGCTTACCAGCGAAAACTGTCCCAATGTCTTATTATCAACAGCCATTTCTCGTTCACCTTGGCACACTTTGATTTCCACCTGAGTTTGTCCATCAGCAGCAGTCGAGAATACCTAACCAGTGCGAAAAACCTACCACTGTCAACATACGGTAAAAGGAGCAAATTTTCTGTGTATAAGTTGTATAATCATTATAAAGCCGAATAAAATACCTGACTTTTTTTTGTAGGAATAGTCGTGTTTCGTTCGATGAGTTTTGTAAACACACCGCCAAGTGTTTCAATTCCAAGAGAGAGTGGTGTAACATCTAATAAAAGTACGTCCTTTACATCACCGGCAAGAACTCCGCCTTGAATTGCTGCTCCTAAAGCCACTGCTTCGTCTGGGTTCACGGATTTGCTCGGGGCACGACCGAATATCTCTTGGACGAGTTTTTGGACCTATAATAATTAGACAAGGAAAAATTACAGTGCTGTATTTAAAAAGATAATTTCGTAATGCCTAATCGTTAATGGTGGTAAGCTAGTCCTCTACAATAATTTGGAGAATGTATTCCACTTTTTTGTGAGGAAACGCCGAGTTGCTATTAAAGCGGTAAAATATATAAATAGAGATATTATAGTAGAAGACTAAAGAGGAAAACACAATTCAGCAAGATTTATTCTATGTAATTTTAAAACAAATATACCTTACCTTGGGCATTCTGGTCATGCCACCAACCAGCAAGACTTCACCAATATCAGACATGCTACAGTCAGCATCTTTCATGCATTTTTTGCACGGTTCAATTGTTCTTTGTACTAAGTCATTCACAAGAGACTCGAATTTTGATCGGGTAAGTTTCATGTTCATATGCTGAGGTCCGGATGCTCCAACGGTTATATAAGGTAGATTGATATCGGTCTGAAGATATAGACACTACATGTTTATAAATTGAAATGTATATTCGTCCATCCTTAGCAAAAATGGGACCATCAAACTTGATTATCCTGATGCACACTATTGTTACTAAGTGAAAATAGTATTTGCAATGTAATAATAGATACCTGAATAGACGACGACAGCTCAATTTTGGCCTTCTCTGCAGCTTCTCGCAATCTTTGAATTGCCATATTATCTTGGGTTAGGTCAACTCCAGACTACAAACATTCATAGTTGAAGGATTTTGAAGATGGGAATTTTGAGCAGAAGATTACTATACAATTTTGGACCTAACCAGGAGCGGCTACGAAAGTTGGTTAGGTCTAAAATTGTATACAACCTTCTGCTTGAAATTTCTTTTTACAACACCCTTCAACTGTTACTTCTATCAAGCGGGATGCCAAAAAATCTCAATGTTTCTACAAACATTCATATTTATACATCTGGTAAGACGAATAATTTCTGATTTTAAATTATTGTACAGTACTCCATACTGTACAGTATCCGATGTTAAAAAAACTTGGCCATGACAAATAAAACGAAGAAACAATCCACACCTCTCTCTTGAACTCTTTCACCAAATATTGAAGCAAAGCATTGTCAAAGTCTTCACCACCTAAATACGTATCACCATTCGTTGCTTTCACTTCAAACACTCCTTTCTGGATCTCCAAGATTGACACATCAAATGTGCCTCCTCCAAGATCGTAAACAGCCAAACTGAGAAGAGTAATAAAACCAATCCCAACAAACATTAATTTATTTTTTGTGTAAATTTCACTTTGCACTATTGTGATGTGCCCATTATAATGTACAGAGATAAACATATAGCATTCCGGAGGGTTCTTCCAATGTGCATTTTATCCTTTATAGTTTTTTCCACAGCTAATGCAAGGAATGTTAATTAACTAATATTCCCATCATATCAGATTTTATTGTAGTTTTAGATTTAGAATTGTAGTTCTCTTATCATATATGTTAATAAGTTCTATCGCTGTAAACACATTGTAATTCATTTTTAATGCAATATTAATTAAAGTTAAACATCATCAATTTCACTGTTTATTACTAGAATAAGTCTGCCTTTATGGTCTACTGTAAATAGTTACAATCATCGCTAGAAAAGTTGAGGGCAATTCTTTCCTTTCTATATGTTCAGCGCATAGAAAGTGGATTTGGACTCGTAACTCATAAGTAATATGATATTTTTTTATATTCTTTTATTATTTACCAGTTATATTAACCAAATAATATATTAAATACGTCCAAATTGTCTAGAAGTGCAAATTATTTTACCATTACGTAGTGAAAACAAACTTACATTTTATCCTCCGCTCTGTCCATTCCATATGCAAGCGCGGCTGCTGTTGGTTCATTGATCACACGAAGAACATTCAAACCAGCAATCTGGCCTGCATCTTTTGTTGCCTAAAAAATCAATACCCATTACCACATATAAACTTTAAAGGCACAGTTCAGCCTTTTGAACGATGGTTTTCAAGGCGCATTTCAGCCCTTTTGATTGAAAAACTAACTAGGAAAATCAATTAAGTATAATTCAAAATCAGTAAACTCAATGTTTTTAACAATAAAAATGTTTTAAAATGTTAAAAACATTGAGTTTGCTGATCTTGAATTATGCTTAATAGGGTGAGGCGGTTTTTCGGTAAACCGGAAAAAAACCGATGTTTTTTGAAAACCGAAATATTCGATGTTACTTTTGGAGAAAAACCGGAAAACCGAAAAACCGGGGAAAAACGAAGAAAATCGGTATTTTACTGAAATCAAACCATACTTATACGAGTTTGATGCAATTGAATCATGTTTTGGCATTTACACACGAAAAACTAAAGAGAGTTTGTTTGAAATTTGATAACGTCTTCAAAATACCTTACGTTTAATATCTTGCGTGAGTACTCAGTAGCGTGTTGTGTCTTTTTTTACAGTAGTTTTGATTTTCGAACGTAGTTTTTAAAAAAACCGGTTCACTCGGTTTTCTCGTTTTTTTCCAGTCGGTTTTCGGTATTCGGTTTTTTGTAGAAACCGCCTCACGCTAATGCTTAATTGATTTTCCTAGTTAGTTTTTTCAATTAAAAGAGCTGAAATGCGCCTTAAAAACCATTGTTCAAAAGGCTGAACTGCCAGGCCTTTAAGGCAGTGTACACAAAAAAAGTACAAGAAACAACAGTCTACTGTATCAACAAGATGTTTTAACAAAAGAGAATATACTCAGATACCTGTCTTTGCGAGTCATTAAAATAAGCAGGTACAGTAACAACAGCATTTTGCACAGTGGTATTCAGATAGCTTTCAGCGGTTTCTTTCATTTTTATCAACACAAAAGCTCCAATCTGACTTGGAGAATACATTTTGCCTTGTACATCAAACCAAGCATCACCATTTGAAGCTTTCACAATTTTAAATGACAAATTTTTGCTAAAACGAGAGATTATTATGAGCTATTAAATTTACTTCAACACAAAAAGTCAGCAAGGCATGGCACATGTAGCAATTAATGGCATTATGACAAAAATTAAATAGTACTGATTTATTGCCACATAAACCTAATGCACAAGAAACTTTTAATATTATATACACATGCACACTTACAGGTCTTTTTGAACTTCTGGGTCATTAAATCGACGTCCAATGTACCTCTTTGACGCATAAATAGTATTTTGCGGATTTGTCACCGCCTAAAATCAAAAGGAATTTATATTTTGTACCAACATAAGGATTAGTCTGTCAGTATAATTATACAAAGAATACATATGTCCAGGTCTACGCATAACATTATTTGCTACATAACACTACATCTTGTACAGTAATTATATAAAATTACACTCAATTAATTGATTATAAATATGGATTAAATTCAATTCTTCACCTGTCGTTTTGCCGGTGCTCCAACCAGCCTTTCACCATCAGTTGCAAAAGCAACAACAGATGGCGTTGTCCTTGCACCCTCTGCATTCTCAATCACCTTGGGTGTTTTACCTTCCATCACCGCCACACAGGAGTTGGTTGTACCAAGATCAATGCCACAAACTGCCCCTCGTACTTCAGAACTGAGAATAAATGCATTTTATACTGTAAGTACTGCAGTGCTTGATAAGAGGTTGTGTATACAGTAGGGGAAGATAAACACAGAATACATCAATTGAGTAAACCCATAAAGTTGCAATGCATCTACACTGCAGCTGCGCCCTACTTTATTATATTTTTACTCTGTCTAACTCCAGCCAATTTTATCCATCAAAGGGAGAGTCTTGTGCACTAATGGGGTCAACCAACAATTTGCTAATGTGTCTGGTTAAGCCATAATTAAGCTGCAATGTGCCCTACTTTATTATTTTACTCTGTCTGACACCAGACTCATGTGAAAAGAGTCAGACAGTCAATACTCTACCAAAAGTCTTGGGTTTTCTCCGGGTGCTCCAGTTTCCTCCCAAAGGTAAGGTTGATAGGGTGAGTTAGAATAAACACAGTTAAGAACGTAATATCACAATTGTTGTAAAGATAAAATAGTCTAGGCTAAGTAAGTAATTAGGTAAGCATAACACTTGGTGTAAATCGCATTTGACCATATCCACATGTGAGTTTGCGCTATACAAATGTTAATTGTAATTGTTTGCATATGAGAGTTGTCTCAACTCTCATGCCCCGAGTCAAACAAGAACAAGAGTTGCATGAGGGTTGATTAGGGGTGCACCGGAACTCGGTTCCGGCTGGTTAGTTCTGGCCGGAACCCAGATTTTTTAGAGTTCCGGTTCCGGCCGGAACTAGTAAAAAAAGCATGGCCGGAACCGGAACTCTGTTGTTTTCAGAGAGATAGAATATCAAACGTTTTTGTGTCTAACAAAAGGTCACAGTAGGAAGAAATTTGGACTACGCAAGGGAAATGTACACTACTAACACTTCATTATGACGTTTAACGCTTGTCAATCTTTTTATTCTAACATTTGCGAGCTCTCTCCTTGATGACTTGAAGTGTCTGCCTGTCTGGCAGCAGACAAAGTAACATATAACTATATATAGCTTAATAAATTAGTTCCGGTTCCGGCCGGAACTTTTTCCAGTTCCGGTCGGATCCGGTTCCGGCCGGAACTTAAAAAACTGGTTCCGATGCACCCCTAGAATTGATGAGGGTTAATTTAATCTTACTGTGCACATAGTGAAAACTCTCATCAACACTCATTTAAAATTTGAACCAGTTCAAAGTTGAAGAGAGTTGGCAGTCAAACACAAGCGAGAATTGCAACTCTCGTCAACCCTCATTCTTGTTTGACTAAGGTTAAAACAGATCATCTGTCAGACAGATGACATGCTTTGACTGGTGATCTGCACGTAGTATAATGGCTGATTACATCATACTTCTGTATATACCATGTCCATGCAATATACCAACCACATTATTAAAATTTTATTCAAAATGTTCTTTATAATTCTATACTTACGCATAAGATCTGAATGGCACACTAAAACCTCGTAATGCTTGGCCATAATTGCTTTTATTTACCTAAAACAGCAAAGTTTTACAACAAGTTTAAATACCATGCAAACCATCCACAAAACACGTGCGTTTATTCAGATCATGCGAAATTTAAACGTACAAAATGTGATGTCAATTTTTCGTATTATGCACATACCGTCGAGAGCGATCGCCGTACATTCGGATTGAATATAGTCTTGAGAGTGTTTCTCGCAGAAAAACGCGACAATCCCATGGCGAAAGACATGATTTTTTGAGGAAAACTACCGAGAGCAAGTGAGGAAACTTCTGATGCAATGACAATATATTTGAAGAGAGTTCGACTTCGATCGTGACCAGGCAAATTGCGTAATCGCCAGTACCAGGCCTCCAATTTGTACCGCGTGGAAGTATTTGCTCCACCTTTCAGCCA